AAGGGCGGCCAACTCAATATTGAACCCTACAGACTAAGACTGGGATGCCATTAAAGTTCATGTGTGTGTAAAGGCCGGCGTCCCAATACTTTTGGTAATATAGTGTGTGTTTATATATATACTCCACGGCTTCCTGGCTGTGCAACTGGACAGAAATACACATTATTTGGCAGATAAAAGGGTTCACGTACAGTATGTGTATTTCAACTGTACAGCTGTTTGCCTGATCTCAAACCAATCTCAAATTCAGATGTCTTTTTTGTTTTATTTAAAGTTTGTTCTATATAAATTTACCCCTTTCATTTTTTTTATTTAATTTCATTACTTTTAAACTCTGTAACTGTAAATGACAATAACAGTATCAAGAAGAAGCACAAAGCAGCATTTTCAAACTAAAGGCCTATTTTGTAAATGAAGCATTCAGGTCACAGACTGGGAGAAAGAGGGGCAGCATAAGGCACCATTTAGGCTCTGCTACATGCACATGTGCTGACTTGAAACATACTGACAAAAGATGAGACCAGAGTCAGAACAGTGATGATTTATCAGTGCATTGCTGCTCCTTCACTGTCAAAGCAGCAGACTTAGGGCAGGGAGATGACACCATTGTATTCCTTAAAGTGATATTAAAGCTTCGGGGTTTTTTATTTTTTATTTTTGAAACCTAGGAGGCCCATCTTTGTTTAAATACTGTGTTCTTCATCTTAAAAAAGGGCTGGTTCCTCGTTTTCTTCGTTAAAAAGGCATACGTGCATAGGGTTCCCTGGCCGTGCCCGCAGTAGCTGTGTGCGCCATAGACACACATATTCCTCTGTCAGGCCACACCCCTCCACTCTTCCCAACAGGATGATTGACAGCAGAAGGAGCTTATGGCCTATGGCTTTCCTTCCCTGCCTGCCCTCTGTATCCTTTTCCTGCAAACAGGGAGTTCAGGTAATGGAGGATAACTTCGGCGACCGTCGTCAGTGACAGCGGTGACACAGGTAATTTTTTGGGGGGACGGGGAATACAAAAAGGTACTGGCCATTTTTTTACCTTAATGCAGAGAATGCATAAAGCTAAAAAACGAACAGCCTTTAATATTACTTTAACTCCAGCAGAAAAAGTGGTGTCCCTGGCTGTGCGACTGGACAGAAATACACATTCTTTGGCAGATAAAAGGGTTCACATACAGTATGTGTATTTCAACGGTACAGTTGTTTGCCTGATCTCAAACCAATCTCACACTCAGATTTCTTTTTTCTTTTACTTAAAGTTTGTTCTTATAAAAGATTTTTGCACATACCTGGCGGGCATTGTCAAATCAGTAGGTAGCCTTAGAATTTCTGGCTTATGACTGATGACAGACTTTTTGAGAAGATCTCTCAATGTAAAGCAAACTCCCCAGAAATAGATAAGAAGTATAAATAACATAAAACTCATATCCTGCTTCAGCAATTACACAATCTAACTGTTGGTTTCAAAATGAGTTGAGCACTTGTAACTGTCAGCTTGACTGAGCTTAATATGCTTTGCACTGAGGACCAGTGCTTCCCCAGATGTTGGTGAATTACAGCTTTTGGTTCTTCTCAAAAATTGGTCTTGTCCTTATTTGCTCTTCCTAAAAGACTGTTCTGCAACATTTCTGATCATTAACAAAGCAACTGCAAGAGCAATAAGCCAGTGTTAAAAATGCTTCACACATTTCTAATACCCGTAGATTGATTACAGAAATATATTAAATAATCTAGCAATTTATTGGTATGTTAAAGGGAACCTTTCCTTTCCCCATTCCTGTAAACATAGTGGTGCCATCAAAATGTACTCAATTAAGTGTCTTAGAGAGACTATCTCTTTGTCTTTACTCAATCAGTGGAAAGTGACAGGGTCTGCTCATAGACCCCCCCACCCGCTGGATTTAAATTTATGGAGCCACACTCCCTCACCTCATCCCCAACGGTCTAATCTTCAGTGTCTGCTGGAGTTGAAACTCAAACAAGGGAGAGACATCACAGCTCCCTCCCAACCCGGAGCCAGTGTTCAGACCTAGTGATCACATGCAGGAGGTAATGTGCTCTCTCTTAGCCATAAGCTTCTCTAGCAATGGCTCTAGTGGTGCAAAGAGAGGGTGTGTGAACATGGCTTCTTAAAGTGACACTAAACTCGGTAATTGAATCTTAAAAATACATTAAAGTACCCTAACTATTACCAAAACATTTATCTTATTTGTGTATCACTCGGCTGTAGATCCTCCAATCATCTCTGAATTGCTGCTGACACTGTCCTTCCTTCTGGAGGGTGGCTACTTTTGTTCCCCATGCTCCCTGTGTGTATTGTAAAGAGGCCACCACTCCAAGCTTGCTCCGGTGATGGACTACAATGTTTGCGTGGTGCAAAATACTCACTTTTATTAAGTTTGCTCTAAGCTCTGAAGGAGGATTAATGGGGGAACTGACAGAGCAAGATGGGAAAACATGTAACCAAACCAAAATAATGTTTGGGGGAATGGCTTATAAATGGTTTAAGGGGAAAGTGACAGAAACTGAAATAGGGAAGACTGACTTCAGTTGAAACAGAAACAGTGATGAGTCTTTAGTGAAAGTTCTACAGATGCTCTGTTGTGGTTTGATGTCTGAGGCCATGAAAATCTCCAACGCCCTTTCTCTGCTCTGCCGCGGTATATTCCGCTGCAGTATTTCCCCACTTTGTGTGAATTGAGAGGATAACCCGCTCTCAGGAGCACGTTGTACAGCTCTGACAACTTGTTAGCCACATTCTGTTAGAAGAGCAGGAAGTACTACTATTATTTTCATTCTGCATTAATAGTATTCCATTTTCAGCCTCATTGTTTTCTGCAGAACGCATTTTCCAAATGTAAGACCTTTAAATGTATGCATTGGTATGAGCATCCTTCTTAAAGGAGGAACTAAACTAGAGGACTTGACATCAGCATGGCCTGTGGTCTATCTGCAGGTGATCTTTCCACATTACTGTCTTACCATGCCTTGTTATACACTGTCTCTTTGTGGAGGAGCCCATCTTGGTAGAGGCAGGGCTTTCCTCATGTCAGAATCTCCAGCAAGGAAGACAGCATACCTACTGCCTTTCTGAGACAGGAAGGAAGGAAACCCTTCAGCACACAGCTTGTAGGCAAAGGAAAAGCCCCATGTCATTTCCCCGGTTACGTAGAGCATGAAGAATTCATAACCAAAAAATGATTGGCTACACCCACAAGTGCTTTTTTCATGGCGCTTTCACGGCAACACCCTTTCTGTGCTCTGCCGTGGTATACACTGAGTCAGGGGCGGACTGACATATGGGGCCCCCGGGCAATACAAGATTATGGGGTCATGCATTGTAGAGGGCAGCCCACTGGGGACCTGCCGAGCACCCACTTGAGGAGCGAGCAGCCGGCTATTACAGAGCTGTATCTGACACGGGCGGGCTGACTGGGTGCAGATGGCAGAGAGGTAGCGGCAAGGGGACGGTCAGTGACGGGCCCCCTGATGGCCGCGGGCCCTCGGTCCGTGCCCGACTGCCCGAATGGTCAGTCCGCCCCTGCACTGAGTTCTGTGTGCGGCGGTGGAAGATGGCGGACACAGGTACTCGTTTTAGACATCAGAGCATTTGCACGAGTACGAGTACCCATGCAAATACTCGGTATCGCGGCCGATTTCTTTCTACACTAATAGTATTGTATATTCAGCCTCATTGTTTTCTGCAGATGTATTTTCTTGATGTAAGACCTTTAAATGTATGTATTGGTGTGACCATCCTTCTTAAAGGAGGAACTAAACTGAAGGACTGGACCCCAGCTTGGCCTGTGGTCTCCCTGCAGATGATCTTTCCCCATTACAGACTTACCATGTCTTGTTCTCCACAATGTCTCCATATGGAGGAGGCCATCTTGGTAGAGGCACGGATTTGCTTCCTCATGTCAGAACCTCCAGCAAGGAAACTTCCCAACTTTCTGAGACAGAAAGGAAGGAAATCCTTTAGCACACAGCTTGTAGGCAAAGGAAAAGTCCCGTGTCATGTCCCCGGTTATGTAGACCATCTAGAATTCATAAGCAGAAAATGATTGGCTTTTTTCATCACTATGTTTCCTTTACACTGGCTTCTTAAAATAAAAGAGGTCTATGGGAAAGGTTTTATGTTGTGTAACACATTTGGTTGTTAAGTGCTGTATTTATTACAGAGGTCTACATATCTGTCCAAAAAGGGAGAACTGAGTAAAGAAGGACAGAGGGATATGGTTTCAAATGAGGGACAGATAGGAGGTACGAGAACAGTGAGCAGCACAGTAGTAACATTACCAAATCTCCTGAAACTAGCAGTCAGAGGCAGCGGTGCCTGAGATCTCCCATTGCGGATATACAGCTATGAAGCTCTGGACACAGGAAGTGCACTGCTATATTGCTGCATAGGCACAATTAAAGCAGAACTCCTTGCAAATGAATTCTTAACATCTGCAATGGGGTTACCTAAGCACTGCAAGAGTTAAGTGCTCGTTTGGTTCTAGGTTCAAAAATGAAAAAGTTATACTCACCCGATCCTCCGCGAGAGCTTGCTCTTAGACTGGTCCCTATAGCCTCTCTCCCGCTCCGACTTGGAGGATTGGGTTAATATAACTTTGTCTTTTCATCCCTAGGCAAAAACGAGCACTTAACCCTTGGAGTGTGGGGGTTGACCCACTGCAAGGATTAATTAAAGTTTTACCTGCAGTATCCCTATGACAGCAAACAGTGATGGGCAGTGTCCCTATGACAGCAAACAGTGATGAGCAGTGTCCCTATGACAGCAAACAGTGATGAGCAGTGTCCCTATGACAGCAAACAGTGATGAGCAGTGTCCCTATGACAGCAAACAGTGATGAGCAGTGTCCCTATGGCAGCAAACAGTGATGAGCAGTGTCCCTATGACAGCAAACAGTGATGAGCAGTGTCCCTATGACAGCAAACAGTGATGAGCCGTGTCCCTATGACAGCAAACAGTGATGGGCAGTTTGGTTCGCTGGGCAGTTGGTAAAAACAAAATCCCCAAACCCCGACTGTAACGCCCACATCCCATTAAAGTAAATGGTAGGAGAATCTTGTATTTGTTTCTGCCCTTTTTAAAGGCTAATTTGCAAGCTTTTGGTGAAAAGAAGGACATGGGTAGCTGGGCACTGCCATGAGGGACATGTGCCAAACAAATCTAGAACATTTTGTTCAATGTGGCTTAAAAACCTTAAAACATACAAAATACCAGGCTTGGGGGATGCCTTAAAGTGTTTTTCCACTTTTACAGCTGAATTTGAGAAAACCCGCCCTATGTCTTTGTTATGTGTTCCCATTCACACAGCATAACCAAAAATATGTTTTAAAAAATATATTTCTTACATTTGTAGCTGTTTATTTGGAGCAGGATTATACATAGGACTCCACAGGCAGCTTCTACTTCTTAGAATAGATGGCACAGTGCAGAGATGGGAACAGGCTGAGGGATGTTTCTTTTTCTAGTTTACAAGTGATAATGAAATCTGCCAACACAGTACTGACAGGGTTAATGATGGGAAACCCACCCCCTCAGGCACTGGGTACTAAGCAGGATTTTTCAGTTCTGGAGTTCCCAGAAAGATCATCTACAAAATGTAAGCTGCAATTACTAAATATTATTAATATTAAAAGGGTAATTCACAAAGCTGCTGAAGGATCCACTCGTAACTTCGGCTGACCCTTCGGCTCATTTCCGTTCTTTTTTTTAATTTTTAATTTATTTTTAAATGTTACTATTTATTTAAATTTTTAAAATGTTTTCAGCCTTTTTTTTCCCGACTATTTTTATTGATTTTCTATTCTGCTCGGTACCACGGAGGTACAGAGCAGAATAGCCGAGCCGAATGCCCCTTGGCGGCATTCGGCTATTCAATCACTGCCTATGTGAATAGGGACGAACGGCAGCGAGTGAGCTGCTGGAGCTTCGGCTCAGCCGATCCAGATGTTGGATCGGCTGAGTCGAAGTCCTTCTGCACTTCAGTAGAAAGAATAGGTTACCAGCACTCAAAATAATTCTGAGTCACATCTTTTGCCCTGAGGAAGGGACCCTGCGTGGCCCCGAAACGTTGGCTATTTGACTATTGTGACACGTATGTCCAATAAAAAGGACTTATCTATTTGAAATTATTTTGAGTGCTGGTAACCTATTCTTTCTACTTTGTGCATTACACGGTGCCATCCGTGGGAGTTACTGCAAGCACCTCATCTCTACTGGCCGGGACTGCTGAAAGGTGTGCGGAGAGCACCCTCACCAATTACAACTTCTGCACTTCAGCTCATCCAAACATGCTGAGCATGTTTGGCTGACCAAGTGCAGCCAAAGTACGGCTGATTTCAGTCGATGTATGGCTGAAATCAGCCGTACTGAGCCAGAGTGAATAGTCGAATGTAATTCACTTCGGCTCACTTCACTTCGGCTGGGTTATTCACTCGGCAGCTTCGGCGTCTTTGTGAATAACCCCCTAACTTATTCTCTGTAAATGGGAACATGTAATAGATATGAAATAGGTATTATCCCAATTTGGCCACAAAAGTAAAAATACACTTTAAACCTGCATGTGAAGTTGCACACCTTGCGAAAAAGTGACATTTAAAAGGAAAGCAAAAACAATCACCTCTAAGGGCCCAATTACACCATGTGCAGACTAGATCCAGACCAGAGCATTTTTTTGTCTGGTCCAAATACGCATCCCTATTCAGTCCTATGGTAAAAAGTGAGGCTAGTTCACACCATTGCATTCAGTTCCAAAACGTTTAAAAAAAGTACTTCATGCACTATATTTTCTGGTCTGGAATGCACCAAAACACATGAAATGCAAGAAAATGCACCAGAACGGATCAAAAACACGTAAAAAATACACATACCCGCGTTTCCAGAAACGCATCCAATCTGACCTGGAGATGGTATGAACAAGCCCTAAATTACATTTCTTTATTCAGTTTGTGAACCTTAAAGGGACAGTGTTTCAAAAAGTGTTAAAAAAAAACTCCTGGTATGAAAAAAAAAAAAAAAAGCAACATGGGGCCCCCTGCAAAATCCATTCCAGACCCTTATGCTTCATAAGGGACAAGGCAGATAGCCCAGAGGTCATTTCTATAATGCTTGTGGTCACTGCTATGTGTATTATACCTCTAGCATGTGGTCACCAGGTGTCCCTGGCAGGAATGTTTTTGGACTGACTATCCAGCCTGAAAGTATATCTTATATTTGGAATTACTTCGTAGTAAGTTGTCATAAGCAAGAAACTGTCGATACCCAAATATTGCAAAATCCTCCAATGGAGCATGATAATGTTGGACCCATTTGCTCCTTCTATCCCCCATCCTATGCTCCTCTGTGCCATCTTGCGGCCATAATGTGGCACAACTCTGACACTAAGGGGTTATTCACAAAGCTGCCAAGCCGTAGTGAACCGAGCGTAGTGAACAACGTTCGGCTATTCACTACGGCTCAGTACGGCTGATGTTCGGCTGAGCCGAAGTGCAGAAGTACTTCGACTCAGCCGATCCAACATCTGGATCGGCTGAGCCGAAGCTCTGGCAGCTCACTCACAGCCGTTTGCCCATATTCACATAGGGGCCGAACGGCAGTGAGTGAATAGCCAAATAGCAAATCAATGAGAATAGTAAAAAAAAAAATTAAATGAAAAAAATAAAGATTTTTTAACAAGAAAAATAATTGGGCGGAGCTAGCAGTGACAGCTTCGGGTGCTATACAGGCTTTTGTGAATAGCCCGTACAGCAGCCCTTCGGTTCGACTGAACCGAAGGGCTCTTGCAACTAGAGCTAGCCGAAGGATGAGCCGAAACTACGGCTGGATCCTTCGGCAGCTTTGTGAATAGACCCCTAAGACATTCGCAGAGCTAGTAGCTCTGCAAATGTTTTATAAATACACCCCTTAGTGGGCTTTACCAGGGATTAAATGATATATGATTCTGATAAAATGATACATGATTAGTTTTGTAGGCCTGTAGTTTAATAGTTCTAGACCTAAGGTATTTCTTATCCTCATTCTTCCGCACAATGAAAAATGAAACCTTTTAAAAATCACTTTCATGCTAAAAATAAAGCTAGCAAGCATGGCAGTGTTCTGATTCATTTGGTTAGACTGGTAAACATTGGCCATAAGCCATGAAATTTGTATGCTGCACTTTATCTATACAGAGGTGATGTGCTGCCTGCAATGGGTTGATGCTGCACGTTTTCTCCTGTGTTAGGCTGATAATAAAACCACGGGAAGGGAAATATTGATTGTGATCTCTTTCTTTGCAGTGAAACCACTTCCTTTTGTGCTTTAATCATTGTATGCGCCGTACAGTTGCATGATTCACGGGGAGGAAAGTGACAGGATGGAACATTTGAATTTTCCTAAGATAGAGAAATAATTTACAGCCATCAGAAAAGTCAGATAAAATGAGTTGGTTGGATCGAAGACTGGATGCCATGTGCGGTTTAGGAGCAGGGGCTGAAAGACGGATTGAAATGGCAAGAACACACGAGGTGCTCATAGGTGGAATTACCCACAGGTTCTGCAGATCTCTATTGGTAAAACACTCCATACAGGAACATTTTCTTTCTCTGCCCCCTCCCACAGAGCTATAATTAAGGTGTCACTTTCCAACAGCTTTACTTACCAATTAAGCCCCCATTCACACCAGAGCTCGACACTCAGATTTCCATGCTATTGCGTTCATTCACATCTAAATGATGTACCGTCTCTCAATGCTCAGAAAAAGTACAGGAGCTCCTATGGTGCATGATCACACGTTTTTGGCCCCAGTAGAGTTCAATGGGAGGGTCTTCAAACCGCAAGGGTAACATGTTTTTTGTATAAGTGTGTGCAGTCAATAACTGTCTCCTTCTCCTCCTAATAACTAGCTGGTAAAAAAAAAACCAAAACAACCCACTGAAGCCTGAAAAGGTGCGAAAATGTGTGTAAAAGCAATAAAACAACCAAATATGCCAACACAAGTGTGAACGTACTCTTAATAAATGAAACACACACATTCACGTTCACTCATGTTCACTCTGTGCTATCTCTTGCAGTACATCTTCATCACAAGATGTCCTCAGTCTTGAATGACACCCAGCATCCCTGTGAATGGAGGGTGTCATGGTCCTCATGGACATCATCATGTTACCACTACACTCTCTGCATTGCTATGGACCGCCTGGCCCAAAGAAGAGACAAGAATTAGAGGATCCTGCAAGCTCAGGTGACAGGTTTGGAGTCTTCAGGCCTGGAGTTCAGCATTAATGCTAGTTGGCTCAACATATTTTGAAGGGAGCTTGGAATTTGGTTGTAATTGAGATATACCCACCATCAATACATAAGTAGATCAATCGGTATACTGGTCTAGCTTGGCCCAGTGTAAGTATGTATATGCTATACCTGATCGGCCACTGGGGATCCTTCAAAGCTCTGTAGTAGCCAGAGCTGAGCGACTTACCCACTATTCTGAAAACACAGCAGGTCTCTAGCTCAGCACAGCAGCCATTTATAGAACACCTCGTATTTTTATCAAGGAATTCAAGTTGTTCTCTGATTGGATGAAGGGTGGATCCTGACGAGTGAAGAGGGCCAAGCTGGACCAATGTAAGTATGCATAATACTTTTTTACTTGAAGTTAATTTTTAAGCTTAGTGGAAAAGACACAAGGGAACACTTTGCAACTGGAGAAAAGAAGATTTAACCATATGGTAAGGGTTCTTTAATATAAGAGCTGTAAAAATGTAGTGCCTTCCACAGGAATAGTGATGAGCAAACTGGCCTGCGTTCAGTCCAACCCGGAAATCTGGGTTCGAGGAACATCCAAGCAAACAGAACCCAGAGAAGCCTGTGTCCTAGCAACCAATGACGCTGTGCAGCTTGCACAGTGTCATTGGTTGCTAGGACCCTGGCAACTGGGCCGCACAGCATCATTGGTTGCTAGGACCCTGGCCACTAGGCCGCACCATTGGTTGCAAGGATGCAGGCAGATGCATCATAACAGCCAATTATGTGGGTCTCCCATTGTCTTAGCAAAAGATTACTCTGTCGTGTACCACATGCATAGCGCCATCGGTTGCTAAGATGCTGGTAGCCCTCAAAGGTTATGGAAGCGCCCACTGTGTCCTAGCAACCAACGATGCTGTGCAGCTCAGCCCAGCGATTAGTTGAGGGGAGGGAAAAGGAGTGTGGAGGGGAGCTATGCCCAGAGTTCAGCTTTAAAGTGAAACAATAAAGGTTTTGGGTCTGATTTAAAAGATGTTCAGGTGTTAACCTCATGTTTCAAATGTACTTACTATTTTGTAACCATTTTTACTTTATAAATAACCATGTAATACAAGGTATACTGCCACTAAAATGAGTGCACAATGGACCACCACTTCACCACTTCGCTATACTTTCCCATTAACTG